TATGATATATATATATATATATATTATTTTGAAGGAGAATTAAATAACTTCTAATCTACTTCGGATAGAAGAGAAAATGTCCTTAAATAATTTGTGATAAAGTAATTTCTTTTAAGAAGAATTAAAGACATTTGGATTCGAATAGGAAGATCAATAGGAATACAAAGATATATACTCAGGCTTCAATGTATAAAAATTAAAGATAACATCGCTTGATAATAATGAATTATATTCATTATTTATTTTGATATAACATAATTTAACTTGGCATTATTTGTTGATATCCAATATTTTATATAAATGATATATATCTGATATGTATTTTTATGACGTTATCTATAATTTTTATGTTTATTATTTACTGTGATCGAAATATAAATTGAAATAATTAAATTTTTTACTTAATATGTATTTGCAAATACATATGTACTTGTTTAATTTTAATATCCAGAAACTAATTAAATTTTTAAGACTAATTAAATTTTTAAGACTATTTAAATTATTAAAAAAACAAACAAATTTTATCAAATTCATTTTATTTTGTTTTAAATAATAAATTAATATTTTAAAAATTTTTGCGATATAAAGTAATTTTCAAATGTATACATTCCTTTCTTTAGAGCATTTTTTCAATTTCACATAGCATATTTTAGGCGCTTAAAAAGGGATTTTTACAATAATTTTTACATAATTTTGATTGCTCTAATGATCATATACAAGTAAAATAATAGTCTATTGTAATACATACTTATTTGCATTAATTGATAGTCTTGTAAATTATTTTCTGATGTTTTTACACATGTCTTGCCTCTGAATTCTTTTATCATTATTCCAATAAAAATACAAAGAATTTCCTGTTTTTTTACTTAATTCTTAATATTTTCGGGTAAAAGAAGCTTTCATACCTACAAATTTTAGAAAAAAGAATATACCCAATACATTAGAAATTGAATCAAATTTTACTGAAAATTTTGATTTATTAAATGATTCAGATAATATTATTAATAAATACTTATTAATATTATTAATAAATACTTGTATACTACACCAAGTAATACTTTGAATAGTTTCTCTGAAATTGATGAAGGAAACTAGAAATGATGTAACAACAATAGAAAAATATCAATAGTATTTTATTTAAGAAACAAATACTTTTTTTTTTCCTAGCAGCTTAACCTTCCTCTTGTAAAATATCAGCTTATGAGCACTTCACTAAAAAAAAAATGGCGGCGATGACTTAACTCGACACAATATCGCATCCGTTCTTTCCTAGGATTCTACATATAACCAAAGTTCAAATATATCATCATTTATCTTTGTATATAACTTTTACATGTATATTTAATACGAGAGCGTTCATTGCGTTTATTTTTAGCCATAAATGTCTGTAAGTGCTCACGCTTTTGTTACGCTATCTCAATGGACGCTTGTGAATGCTTGTGAATAGCATATATGACGTCATGATGACATTAAAAGTTCTTCTCAATCTTTCTTTGAGCACGAACGGGAAAACTGAGTGTAAGCGAAGCTCAACATTGCTTAAGAAGGAATTCTGGTCTAGAAGTTTGATTTTTAAATTATTTTTAAGAATTTTTTTTGAAAAATTGTAATATCTATTCAAATCAGGGTTTTTCCTATATATTAGTATATATTTCAAGTAGCTTTTAGAATTTTTTATTGTAATTTTCCAAGAAGTAAGCCTTATGTAACAGTTTATGTAAGATCATGAAAAAAATAATCTACTACATGGTGATC